TGTGGTTGAAAAAGAAGAAAAAAGTATTGATGTGATGGAAAATATTATTTTTATTGAAGAATGTGTAGTTGAAAATGAGAATTGATTTACTGTAGAAAATGAGAATCTGTACCAAATAGGCTCTAACTCCTTGAATTTTTCATTTAGTCAACTCAATGGATACTGAGGTGTTACATCATCAATCAGTATACAATCATGCTACATGTACATTATTTTTGACATCATGATTGACACTCCACCAAGTGACTTAGTCTACACCATTGATTTTGAATTCGAAAATTCCATCACTACACTGCCCTCTCTACATAGGGGATGTTACTTTGGATGTACACTCGGGTAGTTTTATCCTTCGGTATAACAATAGTCATTTAAAATTAACCATGTGAACATCTTTCTAAGGTAATTTAGTCAAGAATCAATTCTTCAATTTTCACTAATCCATTATTGCTTTTCACATGGTAATATTTGTGACAAGTGACAAGATATACTTTTGAAATTATTCGTATCTGTGACTTAATAATACTATGTTGGAATTTGGTTTAAAATTAAAAAATTTAGTCAAGTATAAAACTTGGAAAAGTGACTTTGAGTCAACTTCGGTCCAATATTCGAACTTGATGATAGTCAAATTATAAATATAAATAGACTAATTTGTTTTACTCATCGAGTAGATCGTCGTGATGCATTTGGAATCTCAAAACCATTCCGAATGAATGAAAAATTGCAGTCCAAAGTTGGAAAGAAAAGAGAAAAAACTGGCATGAAAATTTGCATAACTCCATCGCCGACCTAGCACTCGAGCCATGAGGCTGTCGTTTCAAAAATATTCACAGGTATAGGCAGTCTAACATATATTACAAACTATACTAGACCGGACATAGCATTTACTGTGAATAAACTTAATAGATTCACAAGTAATCCAAGCCATGATCATTGGAAGACTTCAACAAGAGTTCTTAGGTACTTAAAGTATACCTTAACCTATGGATTACACTTCACAGAATATCCCCTGATATTGGAAGGATATTGTGATGCAAATTGGATCATGAATGATTCTAAGTCTACTAGTGGTTATGTATTTACCATTGGTAAAGCTACTGTATCATGGAAGTCGACAAAGCAAACATGTATAGCTTAATAAATGATGGAATCAGAGTTTATTGTTTTGGACAAAGCAAGAGAAGAAGCAGAATTGATTAGTAACTTCTTGAAAGATATTTCATGTTCGCCTAAGTTGGTATCACAATTAGTATACATTGTGATAGTCAATCGACTATTTGAAGGGCTCAAAGCAGCATATATGTCGTAAACACAATACTATTAAGCAACTAATCTCTAATCGTATCATCTCCATAGATTATGTGACGTCAAAGGATGAAAAGTTTACCTGTACGTTGTCATCGAAAGGAATGAAATTAAAGCCTACCATGTAAGAATCTTTGTAATGGTAACTATACCTTGTTGACTGGAGATCTTAAGATTTTAGTCGAAGGGAACAATTAAGTTATAAAAATTCAATGAAGCACTTGAGAAAAAATATTTCATAACTCATTTATATGATAATTAAAGTGCTTTCTGGAAAATGTTAAAGGAAAGATATGCTTTTAATGATTCATATATTTTGATTAAGTCAAGTGGTGTAGGGTATAATACTCTTAATAGGAAGTCACCAATGTAAGTGTGAGGCGTGGCCGCCTCAACGAAAATTGTTCAAAGATGAAAATTTCTAAACACTTATGAAATCAAGAGCAGTTCAAGGTCAAAATTAACCAAGTTATGAGAACCATAAACGATTTAGGAAAGACATATGTGTGAGTAAATCCGATAGTATTTCACTAAGGAAGGTTCAATGCCACAAGCTATCTTACCTAATGCAGTGTTTTTCTGCTATCTCTACAACGCATCATATTTCCGCATAGCATAAACGTGCTTGAATTTTCATTCGTGTAAGTGATTGTTGGAATTTGATTTAAAATTGAAAAATTTAGTCAAGTATAAAACTTGAAAAAGTCACTTTGAGTCAAGTTCGGCCAAATATTCAGAATTAATCCAATAGTCAAATTATAAATATAAATAGACTAACGTGTTCTACTCGTTGAGTAGATCGTTGTGATATATTTGAAATCTCAAAAATAATTTCAGATGAATAGAAATTGCGTTCCAAAGTTGAAAAGAAAAGAGAAAAAACTGGCCGGGAAATTTGCCTAACTCCATCGCTCGCCTAGCGCTCGAGTGATGAGACTATCACTCGAGCGACCGAGTTTTTGATGAACAGGTGTTACTGTCGTTCGAGCGAGAGGCAAGTGACAATAAGGAATGCTTTCCTTCATGTTGTTGAGTTTGGGGCGTAACACTTCGCTCACAATGATTCATCTTCTATAAATAGGACCATTTGGACGTTCATATGCATCTTATATCATTTGTATTGAGTATTATATCAAAAATCTTCTTGTAGAGGGAAGAATTTTGTTTGAGTTCACTCTTGTTTGTGATTTGAAGTGCTTCTACTACAAATTGTATCCGTTGTATTTTAGGAGACAAATATCGTAATTCTTTAGCACCGCTGTTGGACAATTTTGACTCAAGGAAAAAATGTTGATCACTTGCATCGAATTTTATTTTTCTTCTCTTTTTTTCTTTATTTTTACTTCAATTTCATAGAATTTAATTACGATCTTACGAATTAAATTTAAAATATTACTTAATCATTTAATTAACAACCATTTCACTATACCATATCACCAACACACTATTCATAATAATGAGAAAAAAAATAGTTAGAATAGTGGGAAAAGCAACTACAAAAATAAATACATGGTAAAAATAGAGTATTTGAAATTTGAAATTGGAATTAAGTTGGCTCAGTCACTATGAAGATTCAACTTTAATAAAAATTAGATATTACAATAATCAAAAACTTTATTGTGTTTGAAATAAGTATAAATTAAAGAAGACAAAAACTCTGACTTTGCAACAAATTATAATTCTCCATCTTCTCCATATGTGAGAGAATTTCCCGTCTTTTCCCACCGTCTCTTCTATCTTTCCTTCTTAATAATACAAAGTATCAGCACATAATTCCAGCCCTCTCTTGCCGGAGATTCCAATTTTGTGTTTTTTTCATTAGGGTTTTTGTCTTTATTGCCTCTTCTCTTCTTATCTATCTTCAGATAATATTCCACAAACTATAAAGGTACACCCCTTCCTCCAATTTTTCTCCTTCATAAAGTATTTTCTTAATTATTTCTACTTTCTGTAACTCAAATCTATGGTTGTATTTGGAGAATTTTATTTCTTTTCTTTTCTCTCTGTGGGGTGAAAACTGATTGATCGAAATTCCATGTTTTTATCAGAGCCCAGAAGCTGCTTTAGCATGGTGGAATTCAGTCAGTTTCTTCTGATCTGAGGTATGAACGAATTCAGCTCTCTCTCTCTCTCTGGATTGAAT